ATATATATATATATATATATATATGTGTGTGTGTGTGTGTGTGTGTGTGTGTGTGTGTTTTAAACTTAGATTTCAACTACAAACTCATAAATATAACTCAAATTCTTCTAACTTATTTTTCTATCTCTTTCTTCATTGGCACTGAATCAAACGACATTCCTTCATCTGCTCCCGTATAACGAATTATACGATCATCGCACATACACAAACACAAACAAGTAGGGTGAGCTAACATGCAACAAATCATTTATAAAACATGCATAATTACTTTGATAAACTCAACAAACAACATATAATAATTATGTCAGACACCCTCATACCATCATACAACAATCGCATCATAGGTACTCATCCCATCATACCACAATTCCTAATAGACACTCATCCCACAATACCCCATAAACACTCATCCCACAATACTCAATAGACACTCATTCCACAATACCCAATAGACACTCATCTCACAATACCCAATAGACACTCATTCGGATGATACGTTGATGAGCAGTCACGGGAGGTTATGCACTTGTGATGACTTCTACTTCTTCTTACAAATACACTTCCAAAATACTCCCTACCATCCACAAGGTTAGTCCTCAACACTATGTCCAAAATTGACACATAGACCAGGACCTCCTGCCCCTCTCACCACATAATTCATCCTTCTCTACTTGAGACTGAATGATTATTAGAGTATCAGGATAACCTCCAACAACAGGACCCTCAACATCAACATATACACTAATACCATATCATTACAAAATCTCTCCACGAGACTCATACCATGCTCATATTCCTCAACTCATATTATACCATTACAAAATCTCCCCAAAATATTCATATCATGTTCAGATGCATAAATTCAAATCCAATATAATAAAATACAATCATCACAGAAATCATACAAAATGAATATATCACAAAATAAATTAACAATACTAAAATATCACTATAAATGATCACCGGAGAAGAATCAAATGTTTGACGAATCAAATGTTTGACGAATCAAACTCACCATAAACGCCAGTACATATGACTAGTCACAACTTACTGGATTTGACCAGGGTTGCTCTATGATCAGGGATGTACCAACTCCAATTTTTAAGATTCCTCTATCCTACCATCACAATTATAACCTTAATATAAACGTTCTGGGGAACTAAGGAGTTGAATCTGGCATAGCCGGTTAGACATCTTCTTATCCTTCCAGAAAGATGAATCCATCACATATTTTATATCAATTGAGTATATTGCATAATAGTTTAACAGTACTTAATCTGTTCAATAGGATTTAAGTTAAAAACTTGTCGAGTAGACTTCTAGGAAAGAGAGGTGCGTCACAATGGACAACTTAAGTACCAAGTCTTTCCTTAGCCAAAGTGTTCCTCAACTAGTTTTAACAAATTTCTTATTTATAGATTCAAAACAACAACATATAATATTAACACAGAAATTCAATATAAATAGATATATAACAAGCACAAATGTTTTTCATTAACAGTATTCACACAAAATTTCAAGACATGAATACTAATAAAACAAAAGTAAATCATAATATAAAAGCTTAGAAAGGTTAGCTCCCCTACCTCTATTCCAGACTTAATTTCTTGCTCAGAATTTGTTTCCCCGAAAACCCTCCAAAACCTCTACTCTTCTTGCAACTAAAACTTTCTTCCGAACTCTTTCTTTTCTATTTCTCAAGATTTCTCACTTGATTCTTCCTCTCTTTGTGCAGAATAACCTCTCCTCTCATGACTATTTATAGTCCAAAAATTTTACTATTTAACAATTTTTTAATATTATTTATTATTTTAATATTATTTATTATATTAATATTTTAATCACCACTTGACATATTTGATCCCTCAATAATGACTTCAAACGTGGAGTGCTTATCCACTATCACTATTTTAATTTTTTTTAAAAAAAAACAAAAAGGTAGAAAAGAGTTTGAACCCATGTTCTTGAAATCACCACAATTTTCTATCATTTAAGCTACAAAAATTTCTTATTTAGCTTTCCACATTTTATTTTTACATAAACTTATTAATTATATTTTTCATTCACAAAGAAGTTTATTACTACTAGTAATAAAATTATTACTATTAAGGTAAATATTTTTCATGGGTCTTACATTCTCCCCAACAACAAAAAATTTTCGACCTCGAAAATTCTATACTTCAAGAAAATAGTTGAGGGTATAATTGTTTCATTTCTTCTTCTAGTTCCCATGTAGAGTCACCTGTTCTTTTATCCCAAACCACCCTGACTAAATTGATAGTTTTTCCTCTAAGTTCCTTTGTTTTAGTGTCTTCTATACAAACAGGTTGTACTTCCACTAAGAGATCCTCTCGGATTTGAATCTCCTTTATTTCTAAAATGTGAGAAGGATCAGGTACATACTTTCTTAGTTGGGAAACATGAAAAACTGAATAGAGATTGGCCAATTGAGGAGGTAATGCAATCTCGTAAGCGACTGACCCAATTCGTCTCAAAATTTGGTATGGACCAATGAACTTAGGAGAAAGTTTCCTCGAGCGAAGGGCTCTTCCAGCACTTGTGGTTGAAGTTACTCAGAGGAAAACATGATTCCCAACCGCAAACTCTAACGGTCTCCTCCTTTGATCTGCATATGATTTTTGTCTACTCTGAGAAGCCTTCATTCTTTTCCGTATTAATTTGACTTTATTGGTGGTTTGTTGTAGTAGCTCAGGTCGTATTAAACTAAAATATTTAAATTATATATATAGATATATATTATTTATTTTATTAAACTAAAATTTTATTTTTTAATGTTTTTCATATCAATATGTACATTACTTATTGTTTTATTTAAATTTAATTATTATTTGAGATATTTAAACTCATATTAAGTTTATTGTAATTATTTTAAAAATAAGAAAGATTGTTATATATATATATTATATATATATATATATATATATATATATATATATTAAAAATTAAAATATTTATAACTTTTTAATAAAATAAATTTGTGTTTAATTTTTTAATTTTATGTAAAATTGAATTTCGGTCTTATCTCAAATTTTTAATATTTTTATTCCAAACTTTATTAATAAATAAATGAATATAGTGATCGTGAAGTAACAACGTTATAAGGGACAAATTGCATTGTCTCGTATACATTGAAGTGAATACATACAAATCTATAACAACATAGTTTATTAAATTAACAAATTCTTATCGTAAGTGATGAAAACTACATCATCCATCTTTAAGGATCAAATATTATCAAAAAAAGATGAAATTCAACTTTATATCATAATTTAAAAACTAAAACATGTTTAATCATAAAATTAATTAGTTTTTTATAAAAATAAAATAAAATAAAGAAAGTAGTGGAATATATTCGTTTAACTTTTATTTATTTATTTCCCTTTTCGTCTAATTTTTATTTTATGTCATATATGTTTATTCTTTTTGTAACTTTTCATTTCTTTTGGTCCACTAGTACTTTTAATTTTTAAGTATTTCGCCATTTTTTCCAAACACCTATGTTAAGAAAATAGAGTAAGCTGTATAAATTTGCAAGCACAGCATAAATATCCGAATAAATTAAATTTTTTAAAAAGAAATAAATTGAAATAAAAGAAATAAAGTTTTCTATATATTGTTAATTAAATACCACTTATTCAAATGGTGTGTGTGGTGAGAGAGTTGGAATGGCTTTGAGAAGAAGAATAACCTAAACGGAGAGATTCCAATAATCCACCATAACCATACCTTCCTTCGCCGTCTCCTGCTTTATTCGACAAAAGGCAATCCTGTTCTGTCTCTGTTCACGCTTCCAGGTATTCTTCATTTTTTTTTAACCTTTTTCTGTACTCCAAATTGAGCTGTTTTTGTGTTGGTTTTTTTCTAATTAGTGAAACTGTTCCACTGGCACTTTGTTCACATTCAAATTCTTGGGGTTTTGTTCAATAGAGGGATAGTGGGATAACCATATTTTGAACCTTAAACCCTTAATATTGTTTATGCTGCTGAATGGTAAAACAGAACAAAAAATAGCTAGAATTGTAGAGGTCATTGTTGTTTGTTTCAAAAACTGCTGGAAATTGGATGAAAAAAAAGCTGATATATTTGTGGTGAGTGACAGTGACTGATTTTGCCAAATAGCCCTTAGTGAGGATAGCACGGTCTTCTAACCTGGTATATGTGTGTTACTGGTTATTTGTTACTATCGTCTTAATAAGGAATAATCATTCTCTTAGATTATCTGTTACCGATAAAAGTACTGTATTTATATTTTATTTTTGTTTTTGTTTAACTTAGTTAATTAATAAATAAAAACATTGCCTATTTGTTATCATCATTATATGTGTTGTGAAAACAAGGAAGGAATTTGAATGGATATTCTGTGGAACGCTTGTTGGAATGCCTCAGACGACGACGAAGAAGAACAACCCAAACAACAGATATTGTCGTTCTCTTCTACTGGTAATCAGAGACTATTGGTGCTCATCACTTATTTTAACCTTTTTGTGCGCATTTTCTTATTAGTGAAACTTTTCTAGTGGCACTTCAGCCCCGTTCAGTGGAGCAGAAATCAGAAGAAAGCATGCTTGGTAAACTTCCACAAGGGCACTTTCTTCTTTCTTATAGACATGACCACACATCTAGGATTATCTATTATGTTGGAAAGGGATTGCAGACTCAGGTTTTCAGGCAATTGGTTGAGCTAGACAATTCAAAACTCTTCCTTTAGGGATGGGCAGAGGGTCATATTAAACTAATGGATGCTTGGAAAACAAATGGATTATTATAATCGAGATTTAGATGTGATGCTGGATGTTGAGTTCAAAATGAATGGGAACTAATGCATTTCTTCTAGTGATGAATCTCTGGTATATCAAGGGAGGTACCATTGCCTAATCAGGTGAGAGAATTCTATATACTATTTTTCATATTCTGTTTGTACAGTGTAGACAGAACAAAATTACTGATGTTGGTTATAACCTTTGAATCAACAATTCATTCTGGAGGGATTAGAATAATGCACTAAAGTTATAGCCTACAAGTTCTATTTTCTAAAATCAGCCTCTGATTGAGTCAATGAATAGATTTTCATTGTGGAACTATGACCAATACATTTTAGTTGGAAAATATATTCTCAGAATCTACATTTTGGATTATTTTTTTAACTTAAATATTTACAACATTTATATTTATGCTAACTTATTTCATATTATATTTCGTATAATATATAGTTATAATTCAACGGACGAAAAAGTTGAAATTACATTATGTTTAGTGTAATACGTAATGCAATTGTTGTACCTTAAATGACTTTCTATAAAATGTATTGTTTACTATCGTATTGTTGAATTAATTATTTATTACTTTGATATCTCCCTTCTCTCCTCTCTTTGTCTCTCAGTTCAGTAAATGGAGCTCTCCACTTCTCACCCTCCATTCCTTCCCACCTCATAGAGGCTGAGGATGAAGAATAACACTTATTTTAGGGATAACTCTAACAGGTTAGATACTGATATTCAACCTATTCATACTTTTGCTATTTAATATTAGTGATTTTTATTGATATATTTTTTATAAATCAAATAACAAATAATTTTCGGTGAAAGAAATAGTAATAATTGAAAAACATTTATAATAGATTTATGCTTTTTAATTTAGACTTATGAATAAGTTGTTTGTAATGAGATTAATTTTTTTAAGCTATTGTTCTGTGGTACAATTTATTTGAATTTATTTTTTAGAAAGAATAATTATATATATATATATATATATATATATGTCAACACCCGATTTCGTTCGGGTAAGTAAATAATTAAAAATAAAGAATAAGAGAATAATAATTAATGGTGGATAAAAAGGATAAAATAATAACTTTAATACCAAATATAATATTTTTGAAATGTTAGTTTAATATGGTAATAATTTGAATTAATATTATGCTAATAATTATAAGCAATACTTAAAATAGTATATTAATATAATTTGTTGCATCAGTTGCTTTTAAAGAGGAAAATATGATTTTCTGAAAATAATGATAATCGATGTTTTGAATATTATTTAATTTGTTTTTTCGCAACCACGACCATTTATTTCAGAGTTCTGTCAACGGCAATCATGAAGAAAGAGGAGAATACTGAAAGCTAAAAAGGTATGTCAGCCGTACACCTTTCTTTTTCTCTTTTTATTGTACTCTGAAGTTTTTTTTATAAAGGTTTTTTTTTCTACACACAAATAATGTTTTTTAAAATCATAATTTTGTTATAAGTATGTGTCAGCCTATGGCCAGTTTCTTTATTTTTCCCACCATCCTTAAATAAATAAAAATACAAAATCTTCAAAACCAAAAAAGATGTCAATCTTGTGAAACTAAATCTCTTTTCGGATTTACTTTTAAAAAATCTACGTGATCCTTGATTGTCCATTATAAATGGATGTGCGTAAGACCAAAGTCAATTCTTGTCGGGTTCATAAAACAAAAAATATTTGTTTGTCTCTTAATAGTTTCTTTATATTATTTTTTTTAGGGAAAATTAAACATTTAAAAAAAACCACGTCAACCTTTTTACATTTAATTAAAGGTACTGCGTTTGGGCAAGGTGCTAACACCTTCCTTCCGCGTAACCGATTCCCGAACCTAAAAATCTACTTTTTGGAGACCATGTCTTATTTTTTGGTTTTCATAGGTTTTCCATAATAAATTATGGTGGCGACTCCACAAATTTATTTCTCAAACTTGTTTGTTTTTCGGGTCGTCGTTCTACAATTATTATTCTTAAAAATAAAAAGAGGGGTAATGAATATTTTAAAAAAAAGATCAAAAGAAGTATTGATCTATTCTATAACAGGGTCTCGAAAAATAAGCAATATCTTTTCAGCCTTTATCATTTTTTTAGGTTCTTTGGGGTTATTGTTGGTTGCAATTTCCAGTTATCTCGGTATGGATCTTTTCCTTTTTTCTGAGGAAATTAGTCAATTTCCATTTATTCCACAAGGGCAAGGGGCCGGCTTTTTATGGAATTGGGGTCTCTTTATTAGTTTTTATTTGTGGTGGATTATTTTGTGGGATATAGGCGGTGGTTTTGATATCTTCGATAAAAAAAAGAAAAAAGAAGTATGTCCTGCGATACCGGTTGCAACAATATATATATATATATATATATATATATATATATATATATATATATATATATATATATATATATATATATATATATATTATGAAATTTGTTTGGACATTACTTGATTCCGACCCATGTCTACCTGTAATTAGTATCAGTTAAATAGGTACTACTTTTAAACTAGTGTTTGATAATAAAATTAATATATATGATAATATTTTTCTAATGGAAGAAATAATTTTCGTATGAATGAAATAGAAACACGAAAACAGATAATTTTATCTTATTTATTGTTATTAGTGCTTAATACATTTATGTTTAAAAATTGAATTTATTTTATATATATATATATATATATATATATGTATATATGTATATATGTATATATGGATATCTTCTATGTTTGTATTTTTATAGTTTGTTAGGATTTGATTGAAATGTAATGATTAATAAAATAATAATCCAAATTATATGAATATCAAGGTAATAAATGATGGTTCTTTATTCAATTCTAAAATAGAAATCGTAATAATTAATGACACCAAAATCAGATTAACGGAATATTTAAAATTGAATTATCTTTAATGGTAAGATTTCTCTCTTTAACTCTTCCCTTGTCGTTATGATCATTATAAAGTAATTTATTTTTACAGTACATTTATAAATAATAATTAATGTAGTCAAGATTAAATAAAGTAAATATTTAGAATTAGATTTTAAAATTTAAATTATCTTTAATGTAAATTTCCCTTGTCATTATCATCTTTATAACTAACTTATTTTTACAATAAATTTACAAATAATAATTAAAGTTATCAAGATCAAATGAACGGAATATTTAGAATTAGATTTTAAAAACTGAATTATCTTTAGTTATAAAGATTTCCTGATTTCTCATTTCTCTTGACCTTATATTCTCATTTATCTTGACCTTATCAAATTTAATGACATTAATGAGATATATTGAATATTTAGAATTAGATTTTCAAAATTATATTGTTTTGAAAATAAAGATTACATGTAATAAAGATTTCCCAATTTAGCTTACCTTAATTAAGTACCTTAATTTAGATTACAATAGATTTACAAATATCACATTTCTTATGACATTTCCCCTGCAGAAACAGTAAACACTGACGGTCTTTTTTTGTTATTTTCTTAATCACATCTTCTAGTTGGTTTGAAACATGTCTCGGCCTAATATGTACACTGAAATTAGCTTACCACGCTTTGGTTCCAGGGAATCTATGATGGTGGCTCACTCTAACCATTTCATTCGAGGAAACTATTTGGGTGATCAACACTTTCACTCTAACATTAACAATGGTGATGGTGTTCATGCTTTGGATTGGTATCACTCTCTTCCAATGTCATATGCAGAAGGTAAATGTTTGTCTTTCTTTCTCTACTTTGCCATTTGCCAGTTTTGATTGAAGAGTCATGTAATTATGTGCTATTTTCTTTAAATTCTTGACATTTGAATGTATTTGGTGTTTTGACTGTTGGCCTTTTTATCCAGCTCCAACTGCCGGTGCTAATGTAAGGAGAAGATATAATGATAGAGCTGGAAGGAGAAGGTGCCACAGATTTCTCCATAGGCCATACCGTCATGTAGAAGGTAAATGACTGTCTTTCTTTCTCGACTTTGCCATTTGCCAGTTTTGATTGAAGAGTCATGTAATTATGTGCTATTTTCTTTAAATTCTTGACATTTGAATGTATTTGGTCTTTTGACTGTTGGCCTTGTTATCCAGCTCCAACTGCCAGTGCTAATGTAAGGAGAAGATATAATGATAGAGCTGGAAGGAGAAGGTGCCACAGATTTCAACATAGGCCATACCGTCATGCACAACCTGTGCAAGAGATCCGATGTCAGTCTAACTTTCATTCCCACGTAAATAGAGTTCCAACGTCAACAAATCATTCAAGTTCTTCAATGCCCATACAAAATGCACCTCGTAGAGACAACATGCATAACCATCATCCTCGTGCACTTCGTGTAATATGTCATTGTCTTGTTTTTTTGCTAATTCCAAGTCTTTGAAATCCTACTTTCTTTCTCACTTATTATTCTCTTTCCTTCTGCAGGAATTTCCTTCATATATGCTCATGGACACTGATGTACAGGAATTTCCTTCATATATGCTCATGGACACTGATGACGAGTCATATGAGACATTTTCTAATGTTCAGGAACCTTCTTCACTAGGTGACCCTCACAATGATATACGTTTGGACATTGATGACATGTCATATGAGGCAAGTATACTATATATGTACAGTCTCATGTATATTTTTATGAATACTAAAACCTTAGTGATTATGAAAAACTTTAAATTGCTAACTGTTCGAAATGGGACAATAGGAGTTTCTTGAGTTAGGTGAAAGGATCAATGACAACTCGGAAAGAGGTTTGTCTGAAGACATTATTGTTAGACAAATGCAGACAAAAAGTTGTCTACTACCTGAGAACTTCAAGGATGAGGAAACTGATATTTGCATCATATGTCAGGTATTAAAGATAGTAACATGTATATTTTATAGATACTAGTTTATTTGTATTTTTTATGTAATAGTTTGGGGTTATTCGTTAAAGTTTGATGTATTAGAAATATGTTTTACTCCTTTTGGAATGTCTGTGTGATTTCACTATGTATGATTTTACAGGATGAATACAAAAATAAAGAAGAGATTGGAATTCTTCAATGCGGACATGAATACCATGCAAATTGTATAAAGAGATGGTTACATAAGAAAAATGTCTGTCCCATGTGCAAATCAAAAGCATTGACCATATATAGAAGCGAAAATTAGAAACACAATTCATTGTTCCAGCCAATTCATATTTTGTTGTCTATGAAGTAGTACATATTGCTAGCATTTATGTAATACTGAACAAAGTGGTTGTTTACTATTTTCATGAACTAGTAAATGTCGTTACATTGCTGAATTGAGCAGTAGAACAATTATATAGTTGTTTACATGTTAACTTTGGAAAATTACATTATTAATATATCTTCTTATTTTTCAGTTGAATGTCCTGTTTGCAACTGCATGATGAAAAGATATTGGTTACAGTTTTCATGTGGTAGTAAATGTAGTTACATTGTCGAATTAGAAAATAGAACATTTATCATGTTATATAGTTGTTTAAATGTTAACTTTGAAAAATTACGTTCTAGATATCTTTTCTTATTTTTCAGTTGAATGTCCTGTTTACAAGAGCGTGATAAAAAGAATTGTTTATATGGTGTCTATATATCATATATCAGATAGTCTTACTTTAACAAACAGAAATATAATCAAAATTAGTTGACATGAAACAAGAAGTCCTTTGTTTATCATTTTAATCAAGTTAGGTTCTGAAATTGTAAATGCATTAGACTTTAGTAATAATTTTGGAGGTTATTCTTAGTGGATAAATATGGAACGAGGCTTTCATTGTTTTTTTTTTTTTCATTTAAAATTGTTATGGAAGGTTGTTGAAGCTTTTATTGGTACCTGGTTAGCTTTTTAGATTATATAAAATACATATTTTTCTTGCACAGTTAAAATTTAGGTTAAAATATTCGGTTGGTATTCGTATTAATTTGAAATTTGCAAGTAGGTCTTCAAATTTTGATTCATCTTAATTGAATCTATATTTTTGAAAATGTTTCAGTTAATACTATATCAAAAACGTTAACTCATACGTTGAACCAAATATGTTAGCTCATATGCCATGTCAGCTTATGTTTTTTATGTGATTTTTTTAATTTTTTAACAAAAATTGTCACATGTTAATTGAACATCTTACCACATGACAGCGTTAAAACATGTCATTGTGGCATGTCATTTTGAAAATTTCATTTTAGTTTCTTTGTTATTTTTTCAATTTAATTTCAATTTTATTTTAAAATAAAGAATTTTGTCTCTTTTTCAAAATCAAATTTAATTTTTATATAAATGTTATACAAATATTTTTATTAAAATTTATATTTTTATTAAATATTTTTAATTAGATCAAATTTATTTAAATTTATATTTTATATTGATCTTTATTTAGACTGTTTTTAAATTTTCAATGTATTTGTATGAATACTTTACCGCATCATACTTTAATATTGTTTTTTATTTGAATTTACATTTGAAATAATAGTATATAAAAATCTATATAAATATTTAAAAGATAAACTTATAAATCTATACAAATATTTAAAATATAAATTTATAAATATATATAATCTAAAAATTCATTTTCATCTTTTGTTATTAATAAAGATCTTTTGTTATTAATAAAGATCTCTTACTATGAATAAAGGAACACTTATGCTCTTTATTTTATTTCTGGTTATATTTATCATTACAAAAATAATTAATTATAGTAGAAGTTTATTTTAGACGGTTTTAATAACCTCAAGTAATTTTTGACGATTTTTTCAAAACTGCATGTACTTTTAGCGGTTTAATAAGATAGCAGTAAATTTTTTTTTCTTTTTCTTTTAAATTATTGTTCTGGCGGTTTTGTACTAAAACCGCTAATAATTCTTAAAAAAAATTTACAGTTTATCATATTTGAGTTTCCCTTTGTTTCTTCTTCTTCATTTTCCATTTCCCTCTTCAGTTTGCCTTTACAATTAATTATCTCCTTGTACACTAATTGCCCAGTTGCTATCTTGCTCTCCACTTAGCATTCACCTTTCACGATTTTCTTCTTCACTCCTTCCGTCATCATTGGCCCTTCACCAGTAAGCTCTCTTCTGTCGCAATCCCTAATGGTTTTCCCTCTCGTATGAAATTTGTTTCCCATGCCCCTGTTCTCTTTCGAAAACCCTAAAAATTTGAAGAGGCTAAAGCTTTGGCAGCAATGTAGCAAGAAACTCGCAACGACACTCGTAACGGGTGGAACACTTGAACACTCTGGGCACTGTGCTTTCGAGTCCCGAGCTAAGGGAACTATTAGTCTCACACATATGCTTCGACAACAACCACCCTTGGATGTGGAAGTTCACGCACCACACTCTCTCTTCGTGCCTCCTCTTCCTCCTTCAAATGCTCTCTCTTCTGGCTTCCAACGCCATACCTCACCACTACTCTCACACTCACTCTTTCGCTCTCTTTCTTCCTCTCCTATCGCAATACGCGTTCTCCTTTCACCCTACGCTGTCTCTCTCCTGCAACCGCAAGTAACAAACCCTAATCTCACTCTCGCTCTCTTTACTTAATCTATTTGTTTCACTTAATTGCTTAATCGCGTTTCTGTTTTTGCAGGATTGTGAGTTCTGTGGACTTCGCACTTCGGAAACTATAAGGTGTGCGATCTGGAGATAGGGCACGTGTTTGTGCCATTCTTTTACGAGATTGTGATTTCGCTGCTCGATTGTATGCTGATCGATTGGGGAATTCAAGAGACGTTTAGTAAGAAATCGAGTGATCTATTCAGGTTCTTGGGCACTTTTTTGTCCTCCTATGCCCTCCTACATTAGTTATTAATGCAGCCAATCAGGCAGCTAAAGCTGCAAGATTCATTTATAATTCTACGAATGGAAATGGTGAATCTGGCACTAGAATTCATGTTAATGCCAATACAAAAGGAGGTTAATTTTTTGGAACTAGATCTTTTATTTCCATGATTCCATCTTGCAATATATGTATTCAACATTCTTCATGTGTATTTTTCTGCTGATAACTATGATACTTGTGAATTATCTTTCAGGTGGGAACTTGAGACATCTTAGAGTGGAGGCTTGCATAGCTAGGAATTTAATGGATACATCATTATACTTCTGTTCTGGTTATGTCTCTACATCCTTTTTTTCTTTGTCAGATTCATCACCTCCAGAAAAATCTTACACCATTAAACAATACTCTTATGATAATATAGTAACTAATAATAATTTTAAACTAAATAATGCATAGTATATGATATAAAAAATAAATATTTGGTCCAGTTATGTGTGCAATGAGTTCTGGTAGAAACTTTTGTTTGTGTTTGTGTTTCAACTGTTGTTTTAATATGTTCAGGATGGTGGCAATTTCTCGATCAGAAGTTCTGAAACAAATTCATCTGGTAGAAGAATATTCTTTGCTTTGATATCTTCGAGAAACTTGTGGTATTCATTGATTTGAGTTTTTATGTCCTTGTCTTCAATCATCTCCCAACGGTAGTAGTTTCCTATGACGAATCTTTGTCTGACAAACATCTTCGACAGTGTATTTGAGAATTAATGAGTCCTAAATGTCTTTTGCTTCCTTTTGTAGGAACAATACACATCCAACAAATCATTAGAAAATGCAATAAGCAAAGTGTATCGACATACCTTGTTCGCGTAAGTCCACTCTTCAACTAGTTTTGAGTTTGTAGGAATACTAGGGTCAGGCCTCGGAGATGAAAGAACAGTAGCAACTCCATACATGTTTATAAGGATGGACACATGTTCTTGCCAGCGTCGGAAGTTCTGTCCAGATAAAACCTCAACTTTTGACACGTCCGGAAGTGATTTTGCAAAGACCGTCTGAATTCCGGAAATAATGGTTTGGCTCTCCGAAATCATGTTGTTGATGTCAGCTATAAGTCTTAAGATTGTTGTAAAAAAGTTGACAGAATCACGAACAATATTTCCTAAGGCATGTAGTTGCACTATCTTTAAATACTTATCAGTGTATTGCACAAATTCCTAAGATACAACATGAACTTTTCAAACATTTTTTGGGATTTCAAAATTAGCAAGAATCTCTTCAAAAAAGAGTTTAGAATCAAGATAATAAGAGTAAAATGAGAGAAGAAGATAATAAAGAAGTTTTGTAATGTGTTTTTTTTTTCATTATTCTGGAAATGAGCAAAGGTGCATTTTATAGGTAGCAAAAACATAGCTGCCAAATGAACATTGCAACACTTAATAAAAAATTAAACGTTGCTAATTAATAAAATTTTAACGTTGCAATCCAACGTTACAAACATTATTTTGCAATCAATATTTTACAACAATTGTACCATGAATAAACATTACTTGTTTTACTCTTAGTGAATTCAAACACAACATAACATTAGTGAATTCAAAATTGTAATTAAGAAATATACACTGTGAAGAGAGTATAGGAAAATCATCAAATCAATTTTTTTCATTCATTCTTTATGTTTATAGTTATAATTTTGATAATGATTTTCTCACATACAATTTTAATATATAGAGAACAAATGAACTTTACCTTTAGACCTATTCTAGACAAGAAAGAAAGTTCAATAGCTCAACATGCCCCATCAACCAAGTGATTAACATAATTTGACACAAATGGTATTCGAGATAACGTTTCAAGCATTCATTTGATTGGTTTCTGCAAACAGTAAGCGATACTTTGTACGTAAGATTTTGTAAATTATAAAGATTAAATATACAATGGCAAAAACCTAAAATATGGATAAGTAAACCTTAAATATAACAGGCACAATAAAATTTGAATTAATTCTGTCATTATTTTACAATAATGAAACTCACTTCATGGTCCTCTACAAGTCCATCCTCGACTTAGAAAGTGACACTTTTGGCTGCCTTTTATTTATGAAGTCAACAAGTCCACCCTCCACTTAGAAAGTGACAGATTTGGTTGCTTTATATTGTTTGGAATATTACAATTGAAAAGTATTCATGGACACAAAAAAGAGTGTATCAGCACTTAACATACATATAGAAAGAGAATAAAAATAAAAATAGGTTTAAAGATTCAAAGGAAAAAGAAATACGTAATAAGTGTAGATAAAATTGAGATATATGAAGCCACCAATGCTGTCATGAATACGAACCATTCAATCCGTCATCTAGGACAACTTATTATATTGGGTTTCTCATATAATATGTAGAATTGTTTTAAATAATGCCAATCAATCTTGTGAATTAAAATGGCATTAACTTCCTCAACTCTGGCATCCTTGACATCATTCCTTTGCCTGTGTTCGTTTTGTGTTAATGCAGTAATTCACATGGAAATTTTGAAAATAGGACAACCAATGGAAACCTCAGACTCCGTTGTTTCTGATAACAGGAAGTTCGAATTGTGCTTTTTTACCAAAGTCAGAGATAACTCAACCAAGTACTACGTTGGAATACGGTATAAAAGGGTTCCAAACGACAAGAAAAAGATTGTGTGGGTTGCTAACCGAGACTACGCATTTGAAACACCATCAGCTGTTCTTACCATTCAAGATGGAAATTTGGTGATCATAGATGGACAACTTAGATACAGTGTCAACAAGGTTTCAAACAATATCAGTATCTATGCCATGCTCTTGGATTCAGGAAACTTGATACTGCTGAAAACCTCAAATAAACAGATTTTGTGGCAGAGTTTTGATCATCCTACGGACACCCTTTTACCCATAATGAAACTAGGACATGACGAAGGAAACACTTGGTCATTGCGATCATGGAGAAGTGCAGATGACCCTGACCAAGGAGCTTTTTCCCTCGAATATGATTTGGGCAGGGTCAGCCTAAT